ACACACACACACACACACACACACACACACACACACACACACACAGACACAGACACACACACACACACACAGGTAATAATCAAGAGAATCCCACCAAATAAGAACACATGGTGGGATTCTCTTGATCTACTTCGCTTGAAAACGAACACTTTGTCGTGCAAGTTAATCATGAAAAAAACACATGTTACATATACATATAGAAAACATAGACGAAACAAAATGTCGACTACACTGTTGTCTTTACTATACCTTAGCCAAATGGCGTGTATATTTTGTTCAAGCCTTCGCTAAATAATCAACAACGCAATATTTTTTACCTCCTGTGTATACTCTACTACATTTACAGCTACTACTAACTATAGAGGTACTCATTATCTTCCCAGAGAAAGATCAAATATTATGACAACCCATGCTGTGTAAGAAAATAGGAAGAAAGTTTGAAATAAGAAGCATGGAACTTATTAAAATGTTGAATCGAACAGGAATATAACATACTTCTGTCGATGCCGCTCTCGTCTTTAATGTCGCCGTTCAGAATGGCCAGTATTTCCTTCTCGGCGTCTCCACCGAGCAGGTCAAACCCTCGCGTGTCCAGTAGGGTGAAACCGTCGGTAATCGTTAAGGCTTCCAAAATGATTGTTCCTGTACAGAAGGTATACATTGTTACTCTCCAAGCAGAGGTTTTGGGGGTATTTTTAGCGTGTTTGTAGGCTTTTTTTTATCGGGGTTTCTCTTTTGCACTGAATTTTTTCCCCCACCAAACTTGGTTTCTCTTTTGCACTGAATTTTTTTCCCACCAAACTTGGCCTAAAAACACGTTAAAAATACCCCCCAAACCCAAACCTCTGCTTGGAGAGTATACATTGTACCGTGTTTGAAAATGGACAAAGTAATCAGAAATATAATGGACAACAACCTAGACCAAATCGTCTTTTAAGGCATCCATCTGCAATTTTATTTTAACTCCTACATAGCCTACAAAACATGTTCTTCCTTACCATTTATTGATCCATTTCCACCCATTTGCTGTTCTCTGTTGTTTTTGTCATGTATTTTGTCACTGTATACTTGTATGTTTGGTGGTGAGTTTAGAATTAGTTATAGCTAGAGTACCTCACCACCATGTCTTGTATTTTTCATGTTTAATTGTAATTAAAAGAAACCTGCAATTTCAGGGCGGCAAAAACAACAAAAATTATCCTGGAGGAGGAAATCCGTCTGATATTGACATTTACTGCCATTTCGTAGCACATTTTTGTCCATTATGATTATTTCATATTTCAAGCGTTTGCACTAGCCCATATATATAAACACAAGCTACGTGAGCCGCGCGTCCCTTTATTTTTGGGTACCACCCATAAATAACTAAAGCCAGCCTACGATACAAAACAAGCAACGGTTTTCCCCTAGCAACATCACATTTTTGCCTCACAGATATCGGTATGCTATGGCATAGGATTTAATTCCACTTGCTATATTAGAAGAATGAACAGAAAATTGGCTTTCAAAAAATTCAGTTTTGGCGCCCAGAAATTGCATTGTATGCCTTTAAGTAAGTGTTTACATCATACATTACATGTTTTTTTTTACTTAATATATCATTTGAATATCTGTTATGTCACCCACCTTCAGCACCAGTACTCTGTATCACGGCCGGTCCCTCGTCCTCGTCTTTCAGGGCCATGACTACCGAGTTAATGAACGAGCTTTTCCCGGACCCTGTTATACCGAACAGACCTATCCGCACGCCGTCAAAGTCTTCCATTTCACCTTCCTCGGCGTCTGGAAAACTCTTGGTAATATTCCCTAACTCGTAGGCTTGGAGAAACGTTTTAAGATCGTTGATCTTACTCAAGCTCATCGTCACTGTTTTTTTCTAGTCCTCAACGGAGGCTGGAATTTACGAAACTCGGTATAGACAGAAACAGAACTTCTTTTTCTTTGGCAGTTCAGTCACGGCAGACTCAGTTCAGTTCGGAAATGGTTGAAGTATCAAATGCACAGTCCCTGCTTTTGTCTGTATGGTTGTTTTGAACTCATGCCAATGTAACCTTGCTAAGGTCACAGGTCAACCCCCGTGCCTGCGCCAGCGAAATAAGGCCACAGCAAGTAATTTTTATGGATGACATCAGCGCGCGCATTAATTTTCGCCTGATTTTGAAAAAAAAAAAACAAGAAATTTTGTTGCCTTTTGACAGTGGTCACCATGCCGAAAATGGGCAAGGATGTCTGTTGCCATGTCGGAAGGTGTATGGTAGATAACTATAAAGATAGGAAATAAGAAAAGGCTCTGATTTAATGTTTTGTTTCTTACTTTGATGCAGTGATATGTGATGCTGGCTGTGTATATGTGATGTTCCCACTGAATCAAAACCATTTGTACAATGATTGAGTCAAAATTTTAAAATGTAGCAACCTTGTTTTTTTCAGCCCACCTTGTTTTTTTTTTCGCTCGCTCGCATTAGATTTGGAGTCGGCGGAGGATATCATCCATAAAATTTAATTGCTGTGGAGTGTGGCCTAACTATGAAGTCATACCGGGTTCCGGCTCGAGCCTAACCAAAGTTGTTTTGTACGTGAGTGGCGTGCATATGTAGCGGGCGTAGCGCCAGCAATAGAAACCAGTGACTCATCAACGAAACAACATCGATCGTGGTGGTTTCACTTTCAAGATTTTCAGCAGAATGTTGTGTACGTACCCATATGGAATACTAAGTAACATATAGACAGAGATAGATAAGACCCAACGATAGAAACCAATGACTCATCAATGACAATCGTGGTGGTTTCACTTTCAATATTTTCAACAGAATGATGTTGTATGCGTACCCATACGGAATACATAGTATATATATGTGTGTATAGAGATAGATGGATGGATGGATGGATGGATGGATGGATGGATGGATGGATGGATGAATGAATGAATGAATGAATGAATGAATGAATGAATGAATGGATGGATGGATGGTTGGTTGGTTGGATGGATGGATAGATAGATAGATAAGACCCAGCGATAGAAACCAATGACTCATCAAGGACGATCGTGGTGGTTTCACTTTCAAGATTTTCAACAGAATGTTGTGTACGTACCCATACGGAATACTTAGTATATATGTGTATAGAGATAGATAGATAGCGATAGAAACCGGCAATGACTCATCAATGGTGGTTTCACTTTCAAGATTTTCAACAGAATCTGTGTACGTATCCATACGGCATACATAGAGATAGATAGATAGATAGATAGATAGATAGATAGATAGATAGATAGATAGATAGATAGATTTGCAATTTATTGTTAGCCATTCCTTAACTTGAGCATTAGACATCGAGTATTCTTACATGACTTGAGATAGCGTTTCTGCTTTTGTGTGAAACCTAAAGGTTCTATTCCTTGAACGTGTCAGCTAGTTCCTTGTCGATGTAGCCAGCCATCCGGTCACTCAATGCCAGTTCCCCCTGGACTTCTGCCCAGTTGTCCCTGAGGGAGTTGGACGTGGTGATGTCTTCTTTCTTCAGCTTATCGATGGTGGGTTGCAGTCGCTCAAGCTATGTACAGTGTGCGAACAGGACTTATGAATATATTGAATGTGGGACTATTCATTATCCAAGTGCTGCCTTCAACGAAGAAGTCGAACCCCATAATAGCTAGCGTAGTAGAAGTAGAAGTTTTTCCAGACAGTTGTTACCTGTCTCCTGTTACTGTATTGCAACGAGTATTATACTTGATTGTAAAAGCAATTAGCCTTCGGGCATGATTTTGCAAATAAAGTTTTTTCTATAAAGTCACAAAATGGTTTATAATTGACTAAATGTTTAAAAATGTTCAAAAACATTTAGTGTTACAGAATGATCAATAATCTTTGCTATCTATGTATTTTGCTCCATTTGCTGTTTCGTAATTTGTTATTTGTTTAGCAATGTGCTAGAGGTGTCCACCACTGTGTCTTGTACTTTGTATGTTGTTTCATCAAAAATTTAAAAAACTTAAATTTTTCAGTGTATTCTGGTGATGCATTCCACGCTTGTTCCTGTGTATACCTCCATCGTATATGTATACCTCCAATATGTATACCTCCAATGCAATCGTTACATGTATACTGGTCAATCTGAATTTAGAAGTTCAATGCGAAAATACATACCTGTCTTGGTGATATTCTTTTTTTTTAACAATTCATTCATATTTGGTTCTGATACTAAAGTTCTCTTCACACAATAGAAGTAGTTAAACCACTCTTTGTACTTACCGGGATGTGCTTCTTGGAAGAGAGGCGGCGGAAGAAATCTTCCACAGTTTCTTGGGGCCCTAAATAAAAAAAAAAGAATGATCGTGAGAATATTATACACAGAATTACTGATACATTAGTTGCTCGTAGGAAAGGAATGTGTATAATTTAATGGCGTTCGAACAGTTCCTGTATTCTAAGGCTTGCGGTGTAGAATTATTAACAGTAGTTAACATGATAGAGACAAATTCAAGGATGAAATAGTGTTGGGTTGCATCATGTTGTGTTGCAATTTCATAGCAGGAAGGATTTACATGTAGACTCCTGTCACTATATATGTGAATGTGTTTAAGTACGAATAAACAGAGCAGACCATATGCGAAAGCCAAACATTATGCATTTGCTTTGCAAAATGTTATCTTCGGTTATCTAGTTACAATTGGTCTTTCCCACCTGTCACTTGCTGGTTCTTCTTTGCTTCACTCTCCCTCTTGTACTCTTCTTGTTGCTTGTGGATCTTGACGTAGCGCTCCGCTACGTTTAGTGCCGACCGCATGACTTTCATGGCTTCTATTTCGGTCGTGTAATCTGAGAAAGAAAGCGGAGAGAATATATGTTATATTATGTTCCTTCGCTCTGGTGTAAACGAATGAAAGATTGCCCCCAAGTAAATGTTAGGAGTACGGGACAGTATGTGATAGCAAATGTGGGGAAGACGTAGTCTCCACCAGACTCCTTTGCAGGCTCAATAAATAGTAGAAATCGGACTAAAAGAATGTAGCTGACCAGGGGAGTTGGCATGCTATAGAGGGCCCATTTAATTCTATGCAGGCAAACTGGACCCTCTATGGCCGGCCAACTCCACTGGCCGGCCACATTCTTTTTGGCCGATTTCTACTATTTATTCCGCCTGCAAAGGAGTCTGGTGGAGACTAGGGAAGACGTGTCAGTGGTAGATGCAGAGAATCGTCAAGAAATTCACTCTAATTGATAAAATAAGCAATTCATAACAGCTCTAAATACTTATAAAAGTAGACGTGAAATTTTGAATGTCTTGTTTCAAAGGAAACAAGTGATTATGTGAGGAGCATGTACATGTACCACAATAGTATAATGATTTGTTATTTTCACCACAGTTCTGTTTATTCCTACTGACCTCTTTCCGTCTTGTCCACGTGGTAGTTGGTAACAAAGAAGGTGTGGTCACGGGCGCTGCCGGTTGCCGCAGACGCTTTGGCCAGGATGTCGTCTTCTTGATCCTCGCCGATCATATCGTGGTGCGTAATGACTGTGATCGGAGCTATTCCTACAGTAAAAAAAGCAAGAAGAAACTAGAAAGGTAACATTTGCAAAGCTAATGCATAATGTTTACCTTCACATATGGTCTACTCTGTTTTAACAGAGTAGACCATATGCGAAGGTAAAAAACTCTCACTGAAACACATCCACAAATATGTCAACAAAAGTCTAAATCCCTCCTGCTATAAAATTGCAACATGATGCAACCCAACACCAGTTACCATGGTGACAGACGTCTTGTTCAAGTCATTGACCTTTTTGGTTTGGAGAAGAAGAGGAAATGTAGCAAAAACAATATGTTTTCCTTCGGTAAACAAAAAGAATTGATTAGACGCTGTAGCTGCACCATGTTGCATTTGTTCACAAGTTTCTTACATGTCTCCAAATACATGAAATGAAGTTTCAATTCATACAACGAAACCCCAGTAGATATGTGTGAAATAATCAGTATGGGTAACGTACCTCTAGCCTCTACCAGGCACCGCGGATCGCTGGAAAAATAGTAGAAATTGGCCGAAATAAAGGGATAGTACACCAGAGAAGATCCAGGACCATAGACGCCGTGGGTCGCAAATTGGAGCTTCTATGGCCCTGGATCTTCTCTGGTATACTATCCCTTTATTTCGGCCAATTTCTACTATTTTTCCAGTGATCCGCGGTGCCTGGTAGAGGCTAACGTACCTCTCGGACGCATGAATTCGCGCACGGTGTTGAGATTGTTCAGATGAGTGTTGCCGTCTTGTAGACGGGGGTCTGCCGCCGACAGAACTATGATGATAGCGTGGAGCCAGTTGGGGAACCACTCCTCCGAGTCTTCCTTGTCCGCATGCTGCTTAAAGACGATCTCCTGTGGAGGGGACAAGATTGACAAGAGAGCAACGTAAGATATCAAGAGTCAGCACTGTGCGTAGTCCAGCGGTTATATTAGTTAATTTTGTAATCTAGATAATATTGAAGATGAATGCCATTTTGTAGTTGACTGCATATTATATAGAAGGGATTCCCTCTATACTTATGTAATAGATAAGTTCCCAAGCTTTAGACATTTAGACAGATTAGAAAAATTCGAATTCCTCGTGAAACTTGACAAACTATGTATCATTAGCTCAATATGTGCGTACATCTTTAACTGCGTCAAGAAGCGAGAAGAAGCTGAACCTGTAAATAGTAGATCACATTAGTATGTATAGTTTGTAAGTGTCATTTCTGTATTCTTTTCCCTGTTTACCCATGACCTGTACTAAGCTTGTTAGAGCACAAAAGTACAATAAAGGTCTTTCATTCATTGTTAATCTGCCTCAATAGCGTATGTTTTTTTGAGTACGTATCCCGACTGTTCTCGTTCACGAGGCTTGCAGGCTACTCTGGAAATGATCGCTTAGCCGTAGTTCACTGTTCATTGTACTTGATTGTCATACAGAGCTAGGGAAATTTCCCTGGTACAATCAACCAGTAAATAGTGTCTTTCACTTTCACAATTATCAATTTGAACTGAAAACATGATCAATTTGAAATGTACAAAATGTACAAAGCCTACAGACGTACCTCGCCAGGTTTGATCCTTCCAAAGACGATGTTGGTCAGCGCTGTGAACTCCTCAGCACCATGTTGGAAGAATCCTCGAGTGTCGACAAGACGGAAGTCATTCTGAAGGTAGTCCAGGAACTCCTGCAGGGCGATGGTGCCCTCCCCACCCGCCGACTGGATATCGGCAGTTCCTACATGGAAATTAACGCACGAAAATTGGGCGTGATGTTTAAATAACACGTTACTCCGTTCCTTTTTAATCATTACGTGGTGGAGCGTTCGTGTAAGCCATCACGAAATCGCCGGCGAATATGCGCTTGGGTACACGGCGCCAGCGTGGACACAACCCGAGGGAAAACGTCCGAGCGTGCGGTAGACACGATGTGCGATTATGTCAGAACAGTGTATACCACTAGAGAACCCAGTGCCATGTCGACCAAGTGTCGACCAAGTGTCGACCAAGTGTCGACCAAGTGTCGACCAAGTGTCGACCAAGTGTCGACCAAGTGTCGACCAAGACAGGCTTCGTTCCTACCGCCAACATATCATATACTAGTATCTACTGTATTCAAAATGTTTGAGTACGCATTTAACGGCATTTTAAGCGTTTCCCGTGCCATATTTTATTTTATTTTATCTTATTTTATAACACAACACATCTGGCACTTGGGTAAAACCTATATCCTAATAAAAAACATATTTAGCAAAAGTACAACGCGAACTTACCTTTGCGAAGGCCTGGCTCCAAGGCCCTCTCGCACGTGTTGATGAAGCTGCTTTTCCCTGATCCAGTTGGTCCGAACAGTCCGATCCTCAGGCCTCCCTCTTGCATGTCACTGATGTCGATTTTAGCGAAGTATCGTGACCCGCGGACATCACCAAAGCTATAATCAAGTAGCTTCACCCTCTTGGTGTCCGCTTCCTCCTGTAGCTGTCTAAGACGCTCATTTTTCTCCTTCTCCTGCCTCTCGTATTCTCGTCTCTTCTCCTCCGCAGCCTCCTTGATCTTATCCTTTGTGACGTTCTTGTACTTGTTGACATATTCTACTCTTGGCTCAGGCTTGCTTCCCTGAGAACATAGTACATTTTCAATAAGATTAACATGATCTGCTCCCACATTTCCCACTGTACAAAAAAGCGAGAAGAAGTTGACCTCTCTATATTTGCTCAATGACTAGAACACTCTGTATTAGCCTAGTATAGTACCCTTGTATGTTCTTTATGTATGTATGTCTAAGTCAAGTAGTGCATCTTTTGTCTATATACGTTTGTTATGTGTCTGTTAAGTCTTGACCTGTACCTAGCCCGTCGTGGCATGAATGTACAATAAAGGTATTTCATAATCATAATATTTCATTGTAATGGCTGGAACCCCATACATGAAATATTGAAAATGTTTTCTCCTATGATTTGTGTAACACAGCACTGTAGCTTGGTTTGTGTACAGGCGACTTAGCTTCACCGTAGCGAAGTCCTTCCTTGAATTGTCGACTCATCATAATATGCAGTAGCCTACTGTGCAGGCGACAGGGCGGGTGGAAGTTTTGATACTGCGTTTTGAAGAATTTTTAACGCCTTCTTTTTTAACGCCGGCCATTAGGAACAACCATCCGCTCAGAGAAAGTTTGTACCCGCTCCGTTAAATATTCTACAAAACGCAGTATCAGAAGTCCCACCCGCCCGGAGTAGCCTCCACCAGGCCTTTCTACGGGAATACGGATCGTAAAATTCGGCAAAAAAGAGAGTAAAATTGGCCAAGGGAGTCCGGCCGCGGGGAGGTAGTTTCTTTCCCTCCGAAGTCAGTCAAACCTACAAGGTGGCCAAACTCCCCTGACAAATATTCTCCTACACTTGTAAATATAGCCAGCGTAGTTAGTCTGGGTAGAGACTACGCCCGGAGGCCTGCACAGGAGGCTAATAATATGCAGTAAAACAGCACATAAGTACATGTACGTCTGTTGGGTTGTTGCGTTCTTATATAGAGAAAGCGGCAAAAGCATGAGTTCCAAATAATGAATTTTCGAAAATGATACTCACTGAACCACCCATTTTTTTTCCAGTCCCCGGCTTACGTTATACGAACGCAAGTGAAGTTCCGCTGTATTTGACGCACTGAGGTGCAACGACTAACTGGTCCACACTTGAAACACGCCGGGTACAGTTGTGGACACCGTGACAGCTTACCCAGAGCCGCGGGTACAGTGTGTGGGGGCGGTCGTCGAAACCTTTTAGTCAGACCATGAACAGAACTTCCCCGAAAAGGTTTCGGTTCGTTTTGCATATGAACAAACGTTTAGTTCGGTCGCCTGGCCTGACGTTTCAAGTGCGCATGTCACATGTTATAATACCACGGGCCCCTCTTGACTCCGTTTCATACGTGCGTAACAAACCTATCTTTCAGCGAGAGTTTCGCATCTTGTCAGCTAAAAGAACTGTGCAACAAACGTACAGCTAACACAAAGATTCAGTCTGTGTATCAGCTACTGTGGGGTACCTAACGTCAGAGACAGCGCTTTGACAAGCAGATTTGTTCGGTAAGTCAGCTCCGTTTATGTTCTATTCAAGTGAATGCAGCCTAATATTACCAGGTACACTGTACAATATATTACATGTAAGACCGATATAACGCTACCCCATACAAAGACAGAGATATTCAATATATGCTACTGTCATATCCTGTCAATATATCCACTTATGTAGGCCAATTTATACACAATTCGCTGACAAAACTAGAAAATGTAATAAATTCCTGACATAGTACATTACTATCAATAGAGTTATATTAGTATAATTAGTGTTTCTTTATTGTTAAATATTGTTTATGAAAGTAGACCAGATTCTTAAAACAGTTAGTAGAATTGCTAAGATATTTTAGCATCACCAATTGCAACTATGTATGCATCACCAACTATGTAACTATGTATATTTTGCCATACGTTGTACCCGCTACATCCGTTGCGCAATAAAGTTCTTCTTCTGTCCAATTTAAGTAGCCTGGGTACCATCCGGATTTTCGCTACGCAACGCTCGAAAAAATCGAAAATGATTTTTTCAAGCGTTGCGTAGCGAAAATCCGGATGGTACCCAGGCTACAATTTAACATCCAAGGCTAGAAAACATACGAAACCGTGATCTCTTTATCATTTGGTTTCGCTTTCGTGTACCATGTATACATTGGATGAATCAACCGGGTATCGCATTAACCGGTTACCGCTGTGGCTGTGAGAGAAGGCCGCTTCAAAGAAATATCCTGTAGTAATTTGGCTACATTTTTGTATCTTTGAACACTACAACATACGCTATATTGCCATGGGTTTCGAGTCACGAAAACGTACACGCTAAGATTAATTTGACAAGCTTCTTTCACATTCAACCTACGATAGGTTTACGAGAGAAAATCGGAAAGATAGTCTAGCCTGTAGCTGGTGTCCGGTCTATCGTGGTTTCGGGTGGCCTCTCTTCGGGAACATCAGGAGCTGTCCCCGCCGGAATCAACTCGGCACCCGTAGGAGATTTGCACGACGTCGATATCGTGGTGGTCTAATTGAATTCTTGCCGTGCAAACTCCTACGGGTGCCTAGTTGAGTCGGGCGGGGAGAGCTCCTGCACTGCTCTGAAGTGAGCTCGCCCAAACTACGGTAGACTGAACACCAGGCTAGGGATACAGTCGTGCTTGAATCTTGAATAATGAATGTATACGATTAGGAATATCATAATAGGAGAGCAATGCAAATTATTGTTTCCCCTCTACTTGCAGTACTTCGGCTAAAGCTAGGTGGCGCTGTAGGATAGTGTCATGGCACCTTTTGTGTGTGTGTGAGTGTGTTAGGGTGTGGGGTAGGTAGGGGGTTGTTAAAGGGAAACATCCTGCAAATCTGTTTACAAATCTTGATGTTCTGCCTTATGTTACGTACAGAGACAACCTTACTGTTTGTAAAACGTAACGAACATCGCAGAAATGAATATAATGCACGGCGTGATATCGTGGTAACCTGGTATCCAGTCTACCGTAGTTGGGGCGGGCTTTGTTCGGGGCTGATGAAGCTCTTCCCCGCCCGAGCTAGGTTCCCCCGGTAGGTTTTTCACGGCGGGAGTTTGATTAGCCCCACCACGCTTTTTTTTTGCGTGCCAAACACTATAAGCAAAGGTCCTACCGGGCGGTTTTTTTGTACTGGGCGGGGGGAAACTATTGGAACCCCGCAGGCAGCCTGCCCCAACCACGATAGACTGGATACCAGGCTATATTGCGGTGATCTAATTGAACTCTTGCCGTACAAACTCCTACGGGTGCCCAGTTGAGTCGGGCGGGGATAGCGCCTGGATTGCCCCGAAGAGAGCCCGCCCAAACCACGATAGAATGGACACCATGTACCAGGCTAGGGATAGTCGTGTTTGTCTGCCGTAACTAGCCTTACTGTTTGTAAACGTAACGCACATCTGAATATTTGTATGCTCCGTTTTTTTGACGAACATTTTTATGAAACGGACACTTTTCAGGGCGCACGGAAATCCTGCGTTGCAGAAAGAATGGGAGGCTCAGAATCTAAGGAGGTAAATTTATCCTCTTTCTTTCAATACTGGTTTAAAGCGTAAGAATGAATACAATAGGTGTCTCGCTATATTCACATTGTATTTTTTTTTTACAAAGTCATACAATGTTCTATTGTCGAGGAAAGGTATTTCCTATGACATCATTTGTTTCTCGATCTTCTGTGAACAGAATAAAATCTACATACATTGTACCTGAAAAGCATGTAAACCCTAGCTGTTTGTAAACATGCCCCTCATTCGTTTTTAATCTACGAACGCCCAGCATTGTGTGTCTATATAATCTTTTGCACTGTCAATAGCCACCCTGTAAAAGAACCTGGTTGATGAAGAGACAAATCAAGAGTGAGTCTCGAAAGCTCCCCAGAGTAGCAAATTCTTCTTGTTGTGTGCGTGGTTTTAAAATATGTAGCAAAAGTGCCCCGTAAATTGTGTTTATCACCGGCGCAGGAGACCGAGGAGGTAGTAAGATGGCACGACCGTTGGGACGACGACGCCGAACAACGAGGCATCGCTGAAGCTGTCAAAGAGTTCGAACAGCGCCGTGGGAGTCAGAGGATGAAGGAGGTAAAGGAGACGTACCTGCGGATAAAGAACGACCTGGAGGAGTACGAAGTTGGGTCGAAACTGCGGCTTGGCAAATTTTTCCCGGCAGATGTCAAGGAGATGGAGAATATTAACATAGGTGGGTCAGATTCTCTCTCTCTTCTATCTCCCTTTCTCTCTCTCTCTCTTCTCACTCTCTTCTCTCTCTCTCTCTCTCTCTCTCTCTCTCTCTCTCTCTCTCTCTCTCTCTCTCTCTCTCTCTCTCTCTCTCTCTCTCTCTCTCTCTCTCTCTCTCTCTCTCTCTCTCTCTCTCTCTCTCTCTCTCTCTCTCTCTCTCTCTCTCTCTCTCTCTCTCTCTCTCTCTCTCTCTCTCTCTCTCTCTCTCTCTCTCTCTCTCTCTCTCTCTCTCTCTCTCTCTCTCTCTCTCTCTTCTCTCTCTCTGTCTCCTCTCTCTCCTCTCTCTCCCCTATCTTCTCTCTCCTCTCTCTCCCTATCTTCTCTCTCTTCTCTCTCTCCCCTATCTTCTCTCTCTCCTCTCTCTCTCCTATCTTCTCTCTTCTCTCTCCCCCCCTATCTTCTCTCTCATCTCTCCCTACTCTTCTCTCTCTCCTCTCTTCTCACTCTTCTTTTCTCTCTCTCTCTTCTCTCTCTCTTCTCTTCTCTCTCTCTGACTCTTCTCTCTCTCTCTCTTCTCTCTCCCCTATCTTCTCTCTCCCCTATCTTCTCTCTCCCCTATCTTCTCTCTCTTCTATCTCTCCCCTATCTTCTCTCTCTTCTCTCTCTCACTNTCTTCTCTCTCATCTCTCCT